ATGCTTTTTATAAGCAACATGGTAGTGGCTCTCTGCACCCTTTATATGCAGCCGATGTGAGTCCGTGGACACATTGTGATAACACTTATTGTAGTTGTCACATTCCATTCCGTCGTCGATCGAGAAATAGCATTCAGGCCTGACACAGAGATGTTTTGCTTGCGACATAAAATCGTTTAGTGGTCATATATAGGGAACAATAACGAAAACTGATCTATATAATTCGTTTCTTTAAAGGCTTTATAGGTGATGGACACTGAATGCACAAAAAAGAGAGGTTTGTATGTTACTGTACATAAAAACAATCCGACTTCATTAGTTACAAAAAGACCTTGACATCTGTGGATATAAACAATACCGAAAGATATACTCGATGGGGAGAAAAAATACCACTGCCCTTCTTTGTATCTTCAGTCTTCAGTCTTCAGCATTAAGGATAGTAGGTTGATGAACCTGTATTAATCTTGACACACTGCTTTCCAGTGAAGGTCCAGCTTCTCCTTGAAAGTATTCACTGATAGGGCTGATACCACTTGTTCGAGTAAGGCGTTCCAATGATTGACTACTCGATGAGAAAAACGGGATCCCACTTTAAGTTTATTAGATCGTGGTTTATGAACCTTCTTGCTATGACCTCGGAGATTATTAGTGATGGAGGGAGCAAAAAGATAAGACATATTAACACCCAAATCATAATTAAAGATACGAAATGCCAGTATAAGGTCACCTTGTGTCCTACGATACGACAAGGGGAAAAGAGTTAGGCGTTTTAAACGCTCACTGTAAGGGAGTCTAGAAAGACCCTTCACTAATTTCGTTCCCACACGCTAGACACGCTCAAGGGAGTTAGTATCCTTTACCAGACACAGGTTAGCTGCTTGGATACAGTACTCTAAATGTGGTCTAACATATATGGGATATAAAATTCTAAACACTTCCTCGTCAAAAGATTTGAACGCTCGGCGAAGTGACCATAACGCACGAAAACCTTTGACAGCGTCTGCTTTGCAATGCTTAGTTGTTTTTAAATCATGACTTAATATTACTCCTAAGTCTTTTTGCTCTTGAACGCATGGAAGAGGTTTACCCTCAATAGTGTAACGGTAACTATTACCGTGACCGATGTGCATTAGTACACTCTTCCTAGCATTGATTTCTAAGCCCCACTCTCGAGCCCATCTAACTAAATCGTCTAAGTCAGCTTGAAGATCCACATGATCAGCCGCACTTTTTATTGTTCTCCAGATTTCTACATCATCCGCAAACAATAATGTCGACAACCTAAGTAACAGCGGTAACTCATTAACGTACAAAAGGAAGAGCAGAGGGCCCAAGATGGTGCCTTGGGGTACACCACTTTTGACCGGCTTCCAATCAGATAGCGTTCCGTTGACCCTCACTCTCTGTCTGTGGTCACATAAGAAATTTCCTATCCACTCATGTACAGTACCTATTATTCCGAAGCTCGTGAGCTGCTGCATAAGACCTATGTGTGAAACGTTGTCAAATGCTCTGCTAAAATCTATGAATATCACATCGACAGACAGACCGTTATCTGTCCAATCCTCCCTCGCAATAAGCAAGTTAGTCAAGCATGAACGCTTTTTACGAAATCCGTGTTACTCAGGAGCTAACAGATCGTGTAAATCTATGTGGCTTAGCAACCTAACCGGAATTAATTTTTCAAGTAAATTAACGACTATGCTATTCAGACTAACAGGCCAGTAGTTAAATACTAAATGTCTCTGACCGTCCTTAAATATAGGACTGACTATAGCGTCCTTCCAATCTCTAGGGAGTTGAGCGAGTGAAAGGGACATGTTGAAGAGTGTCGCAAGCGGTTTCGAAATAATGTCCGCAAGAGATGACAGCAACCTTGGATGTAACCCGTCAGGGCCCGGTGTCTTACCAGGTTTGAGGTTAATTATCAACGGAAGGACAGTTTCCTCAGTCACCTGTACAGATTCCATGGTTAGTATCTCGGTGTGAGTGGGACGTGTAGTTGTTACAATAAACGTAGAGAAGACTTCGCTAAAATAGTTTGAAAAAGTCTCAGCTTTTGCTTGATCTGATTCACTGAGTAATTCTGAATTTTCGTGTAACAGTAACGGGGGAATACCATCACTACGTTTCGTCCGCCGTTTAACATACGAAAACAATCGTTTCGGACAAGTACGGCTATCATATACTAGCTGTCGTTCGTAAGTGATATGGGATTTGTCCTTGGTTTTCTTACAGATATTACGGAATTTTCGATACTCACGCTTAAATGGTGCATGACCTGTCAACAAGGATAAGTCCCAGAAATGTTTCCTACGCTTTAACAGCTTCCGGGTTTCCTTATTAATCAATGGGGGGCAATGTGATAGCTTACGTGCTGACCATGGGATAAACGGTGACGTTACGGACTCGAATGTAGCCATGAACTTTTTACATTCATCTTCGACTAATCCATGCGCGTCGACCGACCAATCGGTCGAGATAGCAAAGTTTCTGATCGCCGGAATATTGGCTCGCTAGAAATTGGGACGGGTGGAGCAGATACGAATCGTATACCATGTGTCCTAAACTTAAAGTGAATTACAACGTAATCACTGTTCACTAGTGGAGGAAGGTGCTGAATATCAAAGACATCCTCACAGTGGTGGGTGAGGGCGAGGTCCAGCAGTGACGGATCATGATTGAAATCAGTGTGTGTCGGTTTTGTGATACATTGAACAAGTGCACACTGAATAACGGTAGATAAAAGGTCGCTATCGAAACCACAACCTGGAGCCGTAAGCTCTATCCAGTTGACATGCGGTGCGTTGAAGTCCCCAATGATGAGACAACATTCTGCCATACTCCAAGAACATATGTGTCTTAGGACAAAGTCGTCAGCAAGACAAAACGGACTACTGTATATTCCTCATATAGTCACTAACCCACTTCTAGATTTAATCTTACAACATGCAACCTCACATGTGCCACTGATATGAGCCTCCGATATTGTTGATTGTATACGGAAGTGATCACTAACATATAATATTATACCTCCCCCTTTGCGACTTGAAACTCCATCACTTTTAATACAGATATAGCCTGCAATGAACGGAGGACAGTCTACATCTACTGTGAACCAAGTTTCTGTAACAACGATTATATCGGGACATAATTCTTGCACCATCAGACTTAGCTCGGACGTTTTATTTCTAAGACTACGAGCGTTCGTGTAGCACACACTTAATGTGTTTTCGCAATCAATTGTTCTACCCATACAGGCCTCGGAAGCATTGGCTTCCAAGACCTGACTACCGGAAAACCCTTAATTGTTAGGTTATTTTCGCCATTTAATTTGCGAGTCCTCAACTTCGTAAGAGCATTCTTCCACTTGATTCGATCCTCAAGTGGCCAATCTGGTCGAATACGGATATTTGAATCACGAGTTTTTGGTGCGTTTTTCAATAATATGTCTCTTTCTTCAAAACTCCCGGGAACCAGCTTCAGGATTTTTCTTGATTGGGTCTTGCCTCCAACCCATTTACCAAGTCGTATTACTTTTGTAATATGTACCTCTGAAACCTCCTCAGGTAGTACATTTCTTACCATGGATTCCACTAACTGCAGGTCATGTGCATGTCTTCTAGCAGGATCGTTATCTTTCGACTCCTCTAGATTCCAAATAATTAAGCTAGGAAGGAGTTTAGCTTCCTTTGAAATTGTGTTAACAGCTTTCGACCGTGACGATAGATCCTGTGTATTAACTACTGGTATCTTACGATTAGCTTTTATTGTAACAGAGTCCTGTGAGTGACTCACAACAGTGTTAGACGAAGCTTTACTTCGGAGCTCTGGCGAATTGGTCTGAGAGTCCACCAAGGACTTATCAAGTAAACAGTCATTAGTTTTAGCTGTTATTTGATTTTTCTTCTCAGTCACGCAAGGATGGGTTTCACTCTTACCATCAGATTTTGTCAGTGTAGTATGTGACTCACAATGAGAGTCCATCAGTGAGTTACTAACTACCTGTGTACTGCCTACATCTTTTTTTCTTTCGTCTCGTTTCCTACGTACCGTAGTTCATTTTTCATTCCTCAGGATATTGGGACTATTTGAAACGGTGATGGTTTTATCCATTTCGTCGGTTCCCACTAAAGGTGCATTGTTATCAATGTCAGTACCAGGTGGTATTACTCCCCTTGTAAATGTTAACGGCGATCTCACATTTGCGTCGGTCAGAGTCGGTTGTTTGAGGCGTCGCGTAACAACCGGTACTACACTGACACAATCGTCACTGTCAGTGCCGGTGTTATCAGCGCATGTGTCATCGTTTTTATTGCAGACCAAATGCAATAGGCCCATAGCCTCCTGAATTAGTACCTTTTTATCTGTACAGCAGAACATACAAAGCCAATGCAAGTTAGGCTTCGAGCATCTTTTGTATGCCATCGGACTTAGGCGTGTACACATTTTGTGCTACCACTTTATACGGTCATCACACTGCATTAATTCCTCAACGGGGAGCAAAAAAATTGGTTGCCCACATTTATGAGTCTTACCAACCATTGTAATTAGATTTAAAAGGTTAAAAACACACAATGATGACAGTGTGAACACAAGTGTCAGTCTAGGAGTAAAAAAAGGTACCCTGGACAAAATTTAGCAAGAAAATTTCAAACTTTAACCAAAGTACTTTTAGGTAGAGTAGACCAAGAATGCTTTTTGGTGCACCCAAAGAAAGTATAATCACAACAAGTACAAAAGTCACTGCCCTTTTTGAAACGAGCGCTTATCTGTACTCGAAGCGTATATATGATAATTTACGATACTCTTGGAGATTAAGTCAACCGAGATAACTCCAAATAAAACAAAAACAGTAGTCTTGATGAGGAATTAAACGATCAATACTATAGAATATACTCGGAAGGAAAATACCGCTGTATCTTTTAAATAGCGCGCTCATAGTGTGCATATTTCTCTTACTCTTATTTACATATAGTAGTGAACTGTTTATTTAATCATTCAAATGGTTCACTACACTACTTTACAACAACTATAGTTGAACTTCGAACGGAGCTTAATTCAAACTTCAGACAATGATGGAATTTTAAGATATGCGGCCACAGATAAACCACAAATCCAATGTTTTGGATATCAAATCGGAACTTTTTGACCTCTTACGACAACGAAAAAGCCTGACAGTAAATGAATTTTGTATCACGAATATAAAATGGAATATTAGGAGACACTGGAGGCATTAGAACGTCAAATATATCTGTTTGAAGGCAGCTATCTTGATGACACGGCTCCTTATGGGAACATTATCAAGGGCTGGGATAGATATTTGATGGCCAGCTCGAACTCTTTGGTCACTGGTAACTCCAACTTGTCATTTTCCAGGACTGTTGGGGATAAACGCGCTCGGAAATTCCGAGATTCCGATCGTCTTTTCTCAAGGTCTTCAGTCACGTCAGTTTCAGTAAGACTAATTCCTAACGAGCTTTTGTTCTAGTCTTTAAATTCACAGAATGAAAATAATTCAGGCAAGTGTGCTTGGTGTTTATACGCCGAATTCTAACATGTCAAAATGTGATGTGTCTTTGTAAGCTGTAATGCTTTGAGACTGCATAACAGGGTCAACATTTTTTGTTTATGAATGGCTGTTTTTCAAATCGCTTTTCGGTATTTGCATTTTTTCGCAGTCAGGTTAGCTAAAATATGTATAGTTTCTTTTACCTACACAAGGACTTCTAAAACTACTCAAGAGTCCATGTCATACTGCAACAAAGATTCAGCGAAATCCTTCTATGCCTATAAGAGATTCCTTTCGAATCGCTTTTATGTTAAATAATTAGACATCAGCTGATAGGTTCTTTCGGTTAAAACGCGACTATTGAACGTATTGTTATTTTTCACCTTGGTTTTCAACAGTCTGTTGGTTAGTAACGGTGCTTAAGTCGCCGTAATTGGCTTCTTGATAAGTTTCAAGCTCTTTACGTCTTTAAAAAATATTTTTGGTTCAATGCTCCCCCTATTATTTCCTCTCTAATCATTCTCATTGTTTAGTACTTCCACCGTCATTGGTTCCATAATTATTCCAAATCCTTTACTATTTATTACTTGATCCAAATATTCAGGTGTTATGTTTTTGGAACTTAAGGGTTATTTTTCTATTCAATATGATCTGTTATTTAGCTTTTCTCATTAACTCTACTATCGTATTATACGGTACATTGAATAAACAGATTTAGTGTGTTCAAAAATTTCTTCACTCATCTCGGTCAATAATAATGTGCTTAGAGGGCTAGTTTGCATTGCGATTTGCATCCATAATCTTTTACGCGATTTATTTATGAAGTATTGGCGTATACGAACCTACACTTAGTATTCAAGTCCCTTCCCATTGTTGACTAACCTTGTATCAAAGTTAATATAATTACTGTGACGATAGCATGAATAAAAGTTTCTCTGTTTCACTTTGAACGCTACAGCGATTAATAAGTAACACTACGTTCTGTTCATTTCGCAAGTTTCTCAAAGTAAATGTTGGGCAGTTAAATCTTATTAATATTACTTTAGTTTGCTTCTCAAGTATCTAAATGATTTTGCATTCTAAATTTTCTAGGAGTTCCTCCCAATCTACCTCCAGTCAACCAGCTTATTTCAGGACACTACAAACCTTCTCCTAATTTCATGTCCAATGGGTTTTCAGGAAATCAGTTCTCCCAAATTGGCAAGAGTTTTTCAGGTTTCAGCAACGCATCACAATCTGGTAAAAAGAAAAAATCTAGACAGCGATAAACTCTACTGAAATGACTCATAAATTGGTTTCAGAAATCTATGATATGGACAGATGGATAACAGTACTGCAAAACTATATGGATTCCTCTGCTTTTTTGAGTCACTCAAAAATTACATTGCTAGTATTCTTTTGTTTGATTACATTATGTAAAAGTGTCTCATCAACATTGATATCTTTCTAACCTTTATAGTCAACTAATATACGTCGAACCACTATGGATTTTTTAAAGAACAGCCTTGGGATTAACTATAGTTGGGTGGGTATCACATTCTGTCATATACATCATTTTTTTCACTGTCTACATCAGTAAAGTAAGCCAAACATGGACGCCTAAACTCTCCTGTTTTGGTTAATAAGTAAAATTATGTCGTTCTCCAGATTGTGATAATTTCCAACTGCTCAACCTTTCTCATACTTGTTCACAATGGCTTTACAGTGGTGTGGCAACTCGAACTGATGTACGTACGTACGAAGTTTCACTTTGTTACTGACTGACTGTGGGTTGGAGTCTTTATTTTTCTATTAAGAATTCAGACATGCTCCATTCAAAATGAATTGCATATGAGGTAGCTGCTTGTAAAGATAATTTTGTGCATACTTGCGATATGCATTAACATAGAACTCATATTCCAGACGATATTTGACTCGAAATAGACTAAACATTATTACAATTTACGACTTGAGTCACTTATGTTTAACCTTGGATTTTCAATAGTATTATACATTTTACAAATGTAGATATTCTGTTCAGGGTATGTAGACTTACATAACAGACACGAAGATCATTTAAAATGGAAGTCTTTTGTTAAGAGAATAGTCGACTAGTCAAATGCAACATGGTACACATATACATTGGTTCAAGCTTTCACACCCGAGATAAAAAATTTCAGCGACACCAAGAGAGGTAGCGATAGTATTGAAATGGTGGAGATTTGTAGCTCAGGTGGATGATTTTGGTGGAGTTTTGTTATCTGAGCTGGATGGTTTGGTCGTGGAGCTTTCATCGTTCAGAAGAACGATGAAAGCTCCACGACCAAACCATCCAGCTCAGATAACAAAACTCCACCAAAAGCGATAGTATTAGTAGTGATAGAAAAGACTAGGTATCGAAAGCCCGACTCAAGAAAACAACTAGTGAAAGGAAAATGATTATGAAAAATTTAGGAACTAGAGGAAGATATAGAGTGGAGACACTCGCGTCATTGCAAATGACTTTTCACGAATGATCATTATAATGACGCGGACCATAAGCACCTGTAAGTTCGATTGTCACTGACCTCAAACTGGTGCCACGCTTTGGGCGTCCCTAGCTCTCTTCCAACCTAGAGAGTATACACAAGAAATCCAAAAGGAAGAATCCAGTTTGTCAAGCTAACTTGAAATATCCTAGAATAATGGCTAAAATTGATTACCGGCTTGATAAATAATAAGCAACCGTGTGAACTAATTTACCCTCATCTTTGGTGACTTTAAAATTGAGGTAATACAAACGTCGAAGCATTAAGTAGATGTTCATAGGTAAACAAAAAGATGTATCTCACTAAGGCAAGTCGGTGTATTCCGAAGCTTTCTATATAGAGGGTTTACAACAACAATGGTAGCCTCAGTTCGCACAAGAAGTAAAATGATGAGATACGAAGTGAATTTGTTCCATCAACATTATACATACTTGTCTTTAAGTCTGGTTTTCGGATCAGAAGATGGATGAAATGTTGTCCAGTCAGTTTGCATTTAGTTAGGACGGGAGATTCATAGTGATCGTACAACTGTCAGCCAACTCGAGGTTTAAATAAATTTCAGACGACAGGGATCAATAGACAAGATTTTCTAAATACTCTTGATTGTTGTCCAGGTTTAGCGGCTAGATTATTTGAGACATAAATTTAGCTTTGGAAACTGATTTGATGCCACCATAATGGAGGTCAATGATCTTTCCAGTTTACAAGGATGAAATCCTCTTGTAATCAGCATATTAATGTACTTGTCTAACAGTTTTCCACATAGTTGCGTCATAATGTCTTACGGTGTTTTTCACCATGTATTAACTGGTTTATGCCAGTAGAAGTTACTGTCATAAAAAACGCACGTCAACTAAATAGAGGCAAGAATGAATAATTACAGATAAGGGTATGCGGTTAACAGTTGATTTACTATGTCGAACTGTCATTGTCGTTACATAATTCCGAGATGGTAAGAAGTCAAAAAATCTAAGTCCGTATGAAACCACAGCGGAATACAGGATCAGCACAATAGAGGCGCGAACGAAGCTACTACGATTGTTGGTTGCGGACATAACCAAACAGATGGTCGACCACATGGCAATCAAGAGCCAAAGACTTCGAGTCTCTCCAGTCTTGATTTTCTGCCTTTATTAATTTGTCTATCAGTGAAACAAGTTTTCTAAGTATGTCCAACATGTAAGTAACCCTTTCAAGATTGAGAGGTCTTGACTTTCACTGTCATCCTCTTCTCACTAGTATTTAACACCACTCAGAACAACGGTATTGCGAAGTGAAGACAGATCTTACATACTAAATTCTACAGTTTACGGTCTATAAATTGGAGAAATGGTATATAAATTCGTTGTTACTGATGTAGATTGTGCGTTTTCTCGGACAGTTTTAAGCTAGGTATCAGGCCGCTGTCTGATTAGTTCTTCCATAAAATCTAATGCCATAAGGTTAGGGTTTGTTTCAGGACTAAGTGAAGGTTTAAAGAAATTGTCGAATCGTTTGTTGCATATGAGTTGTTAATCATAACCAGTTTGCTCCGTTGTGGTAAGAAGTGGCTTTTTACCATTCTAAACGTTTAGAGTATACTAAGGTATTTCTAATGTTGATTGTATATGGCATTCTGTTTTTGCGCAAAAGCCTGAAAATAGCGTTGTTGGTCCCGATTAGTTGGTTTCAATACTATGCTTTTACTAAGAATCCTATTTTTACAGTTCACTTTTAATATTGACACATCAACATGTTCAAGGCAATCGTAACTAAAAACTGACGCTTAGCTGCCTAAGTTAGTAGTTTGCGGTAATCTACCTTATGGTCTGCAGTAGTTACGGGAAAACTAGAATAGTACGCACATTCAGTTCATTGATGAAGATATTGAACGACGATTATCAAATAAATATCTAGAACTGTTATTTAAGAAAAAAAATGTTTGAAGAGACGCATAAAAAATTCAGTACACATTACTGACAATATGTAGTTGGTTAATTTTCTTTTATTTTAAGAAAAGAACGCAAGACCAAGATAGAGAACAATACCGACATAAAACTATTGGAAAAAAATCATCCATAAGAGATGAGAATGTGAATAATGAACAAAAGAAGGGAAAAATGGACAAATAGTTATGAAAAATAGTAATAGACTGACCCTATATGAATAGAAATGAGTTCTGAGTAATGTTCTTGATATATAGTGTATGTATGTATAGTCTTATGTTTTAATCAATCTTCCGTCGCCAAAATGGTTTACCTTCCATTAAAATTCCAATCGTTCGATTACTATTACATGTAAGGAGAAATGTAAAAAACAGCTTTACAAGATGATAAACAATACAGATACGAGTTAGTTCAAGGTAAGAGTAGAGGGGAATAGTGTGCATATTACGCACATAGTGACAAAACTAGTTTATGGTAGAAATGTGGAAAATCAAACTGTATCCTGTGTGAATAAATGTGTATTTTTTTTGAATGAAAAAATGAGCATATTTCATACATATATGTATATATAAAACCAGTTGATTTCAATTGAATAGAAATAAGAATTTCAACAAAGTTAATGAATAAATCTAAGCACAGTACAGAAATAAAGATAGATAGAAGAAAGAAGTAAAGATAGATGAATAGACAGAACAAAAAACCAACATGATTGCTTACATTATTATTCTGCAATATCAGCATTCATATGCATATATAATTCCACATCACAGTAAAAAGCCAGGCAGCTGCCGGTATTATTTGTTTTCAGGATAAAGACAAAGAGAAGAGAGGATAAAGTAAACAAAAAAAGGAAGGATATAAATGTTGAACACTCGATACAATGATAAGATTATATCTTATGTGTTGATCATAATATGCGAATTAGGCCATTCCATAGCCCTCACTACATTCACGTATAGCCATCAAAAGTCTTGATCGTAGCTGCTCGTAGCTTTCATATGCTGGCAATACAAGTGTGTTAAAACTGTAAAAGGTTAAGAAAATATACAACAGATGAGCGCATATATATATATATATATATATATATATATATATATATATATATATATATATATATATATATATATATATTAAGAAGAAATACATAAGTTTTTAAAACAATTCATAATATAGGGCTGAGTAAATTATAATTACTTGTTCTTCATTAGAAATTCTTAACTACTTGAGTATAACTCTGCTTTGATGCTGAAACACAGATAAGTTGATTTCATTAGAGGGATTATAGTCTAGGGATTCTGATCTATAAATTCAATCCACAAGCAAATGGGGAATTGTTGGAGATGGTAGTTTGTAACAAGAGTAAGATTGTATGTCATTTTATCACTTAGGAACTTGGAGTTTATGGGAACCATCAGTTTGAGATCAAGGCTTCCCGGTTTCCTTAATTGGGATCTACGTATTCGACAGACAGGTTCAAGTATCAGGTAAATACTTTTATCGTCTTACTTTTAGACAGTGAAGATTGTAAACACGTGGCTGTATAAGTGCATTTCGTCGAAGTAGATGAATTCTCTCAGGCTGTACCATGTAATTGAAACAAAGTACTGAATAATAGGTATGGTCAACCAGTTATCTATCTTGTTAATTCGATAGACAGAGATGAAACACTTTTAGTCATGAACATTAATCTTTTGTATCATATGAGTCTAGAAACTTTCAACCAGCATTCAGCAATGACGTTCTAAAAAACTTTCAAAAAATAGTATTACTATATAAACAATTTTCCTAACATGCTTCGTAACTCATAAATATATGAAGTAGTGATTTACTGTTTAAATCTCTATCACTTTGTTTCCATTTCCAAGTTCAGTATGAAGAACTGAGTGGTATTACGACCCATTCAAAAATGTGTTATGATTGTTGAGTTACATTTATGCATGTTAACTTATCTTCTTGTCAAGTTGAAAAGGTCTGCTATAAACTGAAAGGATATAACTGTAGTCAATTCTACAATTTCAAAAAAAATTGTAGTACCCAGCAGTGTGAATGACT